CTGCTGCTCCTGCTGCTCCTGCTGCTGGCGCGGGAGTTGCTGCTGCGGCGCTTAGGGTGGGCGGCAAGTAGACTTGCTGGTTTTTGGTGCTGGTGGAGTGCAGGGCCCCCCCAGACACAAACAAAGGAGTGACCGAAGCAGCAGCAGCAGCAAGGGCCCTTTGCTGCGCTGCGTACCAGTCGCTGCGCTGCTGCTGCAGCTTCCCCCGGGGGCCCCCCGCCGCCGCCGCCGCTGCTGCTGCTGCTGCGGGGCCCTGACTCGCGCCCCCACTGCCTCCCGGGGGGCCCCTCGGGGGCCCCTCGGGGCCCCCCGGAGAAGAGGGCGGGGAGGCCTCGAGGGCCCCCAAGTCGTCCTGGTCGTCATCCGCAGACATTGAGACGGCGCGGCGCGGAGAGGGGCGGATCGGAGCGGTATTCCGGGCTTTGGAGAAGCTTAAACGCGAAAACAAACAAATACTTGCAAAATAAAACTGTTTACAAACAGTTGGAAAGAAAAATGACGGAAAATGAGCGAGAACTCCGCACAGGCGCCGCCGCGCACCGGCGCCTGCTCACCAGGGCTCGCAGGGGCCTCCGAGGCGAATCCCGAGGAAATAAACAGCTATTTCGAACCCAATTCCAATTTTATTCTTTATTTTCGTATTCTCCTCCTTCTGGGGATCCCAGAAATGTCTTTACAGCGTTTCCGGCGCCTGTCGGCGACTTGGCAGCTCCGGGGGCTCCGGTGTATGTACACCCCAAGCGCAGGGGCCCCCACACCCCAACAGACAAACGCCAGTTTCTTTTGCAGCTTTGTAGCTCATTAAAATTGTAATTCATTTGATTTATTATTCATTTAAATGCATAACAAACAACTTTGCCTTTCTCCGCAGACTGCGCTGGCTTTGGCGCTGCATGCAACTCCCAGCGAGAAACCCTAAACCCTAAACCCTAAACCCTAAACCCTAGGCCACGCTTTTCGCCTGCAAAGCAGAACTAATAACAATAAATATAAAAGTATATTTGAAATGCATAATTACAAATAAAAATTTACTTTGAGAAATTCAAAAAACACAAATTAATAAAATAAATAATATGAATTATTTGTGCAAATATAAAAAGTTAATGCATGCAAATAAAGCCAGCAATTGCAGCAAATCTGCTTATATGTAAATAAACTTTATCATTATATTTTAATAAATTAAATTCAATTTCGCAAATAAATAAAAATGCAAAAACCCGAAAGTCCACTTCTTTAGAAAAATATAAATCCAGTTAGTTCCTCAACCTGCGGGTCCACTCTGCCTAGCCTGGCAGACAACCCTAAACCCTAAACCCTAAACCCTAAACCCTAAACTCTAAACCCTAAACCCTAAACCCTAGGGATCACTGGGCGAGGATTTCTTCTACGAGCCTTCTGTAATTCACTTTTTCTTTTGAGCCGATGTCCTGCCACCTGCGCCAACAAATTAAATTAAAGCAAATTAAGTTAAATTAAATCAAATTAAATTAAATTAAATTAAATTAAATTAAATTCAATTCAATTAAACTAAAGTAAATTAAATTACTTTTCAAACTTCTCCGTTTTTTCTTTCTACAGAAAAAGCATGAAACAAAGCAAAACAAGCTAAATTCAACGAAATTAAATTAAATCAAATTAAATCTAATTGAATTAAATTTAATTAATAAATTAAATTAATTAAATTAAATAAATTAAATTACTTTTCAAACTTCTCCGTTTCCTCTTTTGTAAGGGGTTCTCCAAAAGCCCTCAAAAGGAGACAAATGAAATTTGGAGACAGACACCCCGTGCCCTGCAAACAATTTCACTTATTTATTTTATTTTATTTTATTTTATTTAGTTGTCTAGTTATTTTGATTTAATTTTAAATATTTAATTGTTAATCAATTGTTAATTTAATTATTCATTTATTTATTTTTTATTTTTTTGTTTTTTCAATTTCTTTTTTCGGATTTTTATTCCACCGGAAAGCTCCAGGAGACGCCAAACTGTTGCAAATAATAAATAAATAAAATAAATAATAAAATAAGTGAACAAATAAATAAATAAATAAATAAATGAATAAGTAATACAACATAACATAAGTAAATAAACAACATAAAATAGA